TTTCAATATTTCACTCATTTCCTTGTTGTCATCTGTGTAAGTCCCATCCTGTCTGAGTAAGAGCCCGATACTAGATGTGGTATTTGCCTTGTTTTTGGCATATGAAAAGAAATATTTTGAATTTCTTTCAATTTCACTAATAGCTTTAAGCTCCTCCTGTCTCTCCTGGTTCCTGTAAGAGTCATTTAACTTAAGTTTGATAGTTTCCACTTCCCTGGTCAGCGCCTCCTTTCATGTATCAGATATTCTAGCACTCCTGGGGAGCTCAGTGACTCTTCGTCGTCTTCTGTAGAGGGAGCGTCTTTCTCTCTCCAGTTTACTCCTGCTCTTCTTCTTTCTTAGGGGAATATGCCTAGAACATGCTTCAGCTGCCAGGAAGTTGATCCTTTCAAGGCACTGGTTTGGATCCATGTCATTTAAGATATCTTCCCAACATGTTTCATTTAGGACATGGTTTACCTGGTCCCAGTTGATGTTCTTGCTGTTGAAATTGTATTTTGTGAAGACATCTTCATAGGTACATGCATTCTGCTGATCAGGACCCCTATGCATTTACGTCTGGACCTCGATTTGGTTGTGATCGGAATTAGCTGTTTTTGATATTCTTGTCTCTTATCAGGTCCTCATTATTTGTAAAGATAAGGTCAAGTGTGTTTTCTAGTCTTGTCGGCTCCACTATCTGCTGGCTTAAGGTGTGTTTTTTGCAGAGGCTTAGTAGCTCGTTTGTGCGACCTTTCATCTGTGCTACCTCCGGGGATTGTTTCAGCTATAACATTATTTGCTACATTCTTCCATTTTGTATGCCTTAGGTTGAAATCACCAAGCAGTAAGATGTTTGGTGCTCTTCATTAAAAAGAAAAAAACAATTTTTTTATTTTTCAAAATATTCGGAGCGCCACGTGAGTGAACGCAGATCTACGTTTGGACAGTTTAAGGGTTAAAGATGAATGACTCAAGGTAACAAGGTGAAATCCAAAATAACAATAACATAATTCAGTAGTGACTGATACAAGAGGACCCTGCTTTTACAGCAGGTTAGCTTCCAGGCTACAGCTGTAAAGCAAAAATTGCTGTAAAGTGAATCATTGCTTTTTTCATTTTCAAATGTATAAAAAAGCCTGATAACAAGTTTACACTATCATATATTAAGTGAGCAATATAGCTAGGGCTAAAATAGGCATATATAGTACGCACATAAAATATTTTTGTTTTTAGCTTATAATGAGTGGTGAAGGAAGTCTAAAGAACTGAAGAATTTGTACAACTGAATACTGCTGTAAAGCAAAGCATGGTAAAGCAGGGTTTGTCTGTATTCATTAAAACAAAGGTCAGAGCTAGGAAACCTGCTTCAGAAGTGATGACCACATATACAGGCAGACGAGGGGTAACTTAAAATAATGGTGTTACCAAGAATATTACAGAGTTGACTAGTAACTAGCTACACAGAGGGATAAATACTGGCACAACAAATAGCTATGTGGATTCAAAAGTAGGTACAGAAACATGATCTTATGCAAAGACCACCTTGTTAACTTTAAAACAGTTCAGCAGATAAAGACTGCATGAAAAGTTGGGCTAAACATTTTGGGATTTCCCTAAATTTAAGTACTGGTACAAGTTATTGTAATTATGAATAATGCAGGTGATGTCTATATAGGAATATGAGTCACCTTAATATTCACATCAATTATCACAGTACTCTTAATAAACTAATGAAATATTCACATTACTATTACAGTGCCCCATGGCCTGGTGGCTAGAGCTCTTGCTTCATACAACAAGGGTCTGGGTTCGATTCCCAGGGAGGGTAGAAACATTGGGGTGTTTCTTTACACCGGTTGTTTGTTTACCCATCAGTAAAATGGGTACCTGGGAATTAGTCGACTGGCGGGGTCACATCCTGGGACAAAACTAACCTAATTTGCCTGAAATACTCTGAATAACAAGCGGCTTTCAATATAGTAGTATGTCATTGGTGTCAGCTAGGGCTGTATACCATGTACACGTACTTTTAGTAAATAAAGATACAGTGGAACTCTGAGTTTCGGCTGTTTTGAGTTTCGGTCACTTTTTCGCCTAAATTTTGTCTTGAGTTTTGAACAGTGCCTTGAGTTTCGGCCGCTGTACCACACCTGTCCACCTGCCCGTGCCCATGCTTTCGTTGTGAGTCAGTCTGGCTTTGTTTCTCGAGTGAACGTTACCCTGTGCATTCATCCAAACATTTCACAATAATCCATTGTTTTTTGTGCTTGTTGATTGAGTGCGACTGCTACATAATTAACCCTTTGAGGGTTTGTCACATACTTGTACGTCACTGCAGCCAGGGTCAGTCACATACTTGTATGCATAAATTCCAGCACCTTCAAATCTGGTGGAAGAAAGCTGGCAGAACTACATATGAAAGAATGGGTCTGTGTGCACAGGCCCATTCCGGAAGCACATGGTGCATAATGAGAAAACTAAAGCTCCAACCGTGTTTTCTGGTTTAAAACAGCAACTTTTGAGTGTATTTTTGTATGGTATTTATGGTTGTATTCTCGTTTTTTTTAGTCTCATTTGATTAAATAGAAGATATATTACAGAAATAGAGCTCAAAGTAGTGAAAATGTTTGATTTTTGCCGATGTTCAAGAGTAAACAAATCGTGCCACAAGTCCAATACACATCAACTGGTGAGTCTAATATTCTTTCACAAGTGCGCCAATATTATTTATACCATTTTTGTAATGATGCAGTAGTATACATAACAGTAAATCTTCTATTTTTTGTGAGAATAAAAATTCAAAATGAAAAGCAAAAGTAATGTAAGAGGGGCCTGGAGACGTGACTAATGAACATATAATATGTTGCTTTAGTGCCAGGAAGGTCTGTCTTGCTTATTCTGGACCCTATTTTAAAATTGGCATCTTTTGAAATTTGTGTGCAATTGACCAAATTGCCAATTTCTAACCACTTTATTGGGTAGTTGAAATCAGTAAATGGGCATTTTCTGGTACTCAATCAATAGAACAAATGGAGCTCTAGCGAAATAGCTATGATTTTAGTTGACTGGAACATTGGAACTGACCGAAAATAGGGCTCAAAATGAGCGAAATCGCCGATGCTTAAATATCGTCGTGACCGCTAACTTTGCAAGACCATATTTCCTCAGGTTTTCCATCAAATTTCATACTTTTGGTGTCATTATGATCAGAAAAAGATTCTCTGTCATTTCACAAGAAAAAATTATTTTTTTTTTTTGCGAAAATTTTTCAACCATGAGAACGAGTTTGGGAAAGGACCACTCGACCCTCAAAGAGTTAACCATGGGCCCCAAAAAACTTCCTAGTGCCTGCCATTTGTGATTTTAAATGTTTATTTATCTATTTCATTAGTCATTTAACCCTTTCAGGGTCGAGAGGCCATCTCCTAAACTTGTTCACAGGGCTGAAAATTTTTTGGAAAAAAAATAACTTTTTCTTATGAAAAGAAAGAGAATCTTTTCCCAATCATAATGACATCAAAAGTATGAAATTTGATGGAAAACTCACGGAATTATGCTCTTGCCAAGAGAGCAGTCTCGACGATGTTTGGGCATCGGCGATTTCGCCCACTTTGAGCCCTATTTTTGGCCAATTCCAGTGTACTATTCAACAAAAGTCATAACTATTTTGCTAGAACTCCATTTTTTCTATTGAGTGAGTACAAGAAACCACTCATTTACCAATTTCAACTATCCAACAATGTGGTCAGAAATTATCAATTTTGCCAATTTCACACAAATTTCAAATGATGCCAACTTCCAAATAGGGTCCAGAATAAACAAGACAGACATTCCTGGCACTAAAATAACATTTCCTCTGTTCATTAGTCACATCCCAAGGCCCCTCTTACATTTCTTTTGCTTTGCACTTTGAATTTTATTCTCACAAAAAATAGAAGATTTACTGTTATGCAGACTATTGCATTAGTGTAGAAATGGTATAAATAATATCAGCGCTCTTGTATAAGAATATTAGACTCATCTGTTGACGTGTATTGACGCGTGGCATGATTTGTTTACTTTTGAACGTAGGCAAAAATCGAACATTTCTGCTATTTGAGCTCAGTCTCAAGGTAGTTTTCTTTGTGAAACCAATCAAAATCATCTCAATTTCTGTAATATGTCTTCCATTCTATAAAATGAGACCAGGAAAACTAGAATACAATCATAAATACCATACGAAAATACACTGCAAAGTCGCTGTTTTAAACCAAAAACACAAAGTTTTTTTTTCTCATTATGCACTGTGTGCTGCAGGACTTTATTTATACTGTGCACACTGACCACACAGACCCATCCTTTCATATGTAGGCCTACCAGCTTTCTCTCGCTAGTACGTCAATAACCCTGGTGCGCGGGCCGTACTCGTACGTCGGAAACCCTGAAAGGGTTAAGTAGTATATGTATTTATAATTGTTTTGTGTTTGTAAAACTATGGTTATCCTTTAAAAAATGTTTTTTTTTTAATATTTTTGGGTGTCTGGAATGGATTAATTGGATTTAATTTATTTCTTATGGAAAATATTGCTTTGACTTTCGAACAATTTGAGTTTCAGCCAAGCTCCGGGAAAGGATTATGGCCGAAACTCGAGGTTCCACTCTATTATTATTATTACATATTCATGGGGAAGCACTAAATCCATAATAGGCATACAGCACTTATACACTATTACAAAATTTACATGTGAAATATAACATGAAGAATGGTCACAACCTTTTCACTTTTTCTAGGAATTTGCTACTGAATTCAAGGAGTCTCATAAAATACAGCATGTCAAAAGAATTTAGCCAAAGTTTATACTGAAAAGCTCACCATATAATGTAATTAATAAGTCAGGATTCTCAACAGAGATCTGAAGTTGTATTATGGGATTTTGACATCTTGTACATTAATGGTATACCTTCTGATAAAAGAAGTGTGGTGAGAGATGGCATCTATGAAACAGTTGAGAGAAATGGACTGAAGCACCTAAACTCACCTGCTAAGCAGTGGAAGTACTTTTGCCCAACTTTCCTCACAAGTCACCACATGAATGATCTTCCTTGCTGCTTTTATCGACTTCAGAAGCCTCCAAGAACACATCGCCTGGATAATGGTGTTGCGATGAAACAGCAACATTCCCATGCTAGTCACTCCAAACAGGATGGTGCTAATCAATGCTGGGTGTTTGTCTACCCAACTTGTATTTGTCATTTTTTAATAATAACAAATATTAAGTCATCACCCTGAAATGTACACAAGAACCCCTTACAAACCATCACTTACAGTGCTAATTACAGTAAAGTATGTTTTTGAGCAGGTGTCTGTAATGTTTCCATAATCCTCATTTCTAGCACATATCAAATACAGTGGAACCTTGGCTTATGAACGCCCCACCATGCAAATTTTTCAGGATACGAACCATCGTTCGGTCGATTTTTTGCTTCTGGATAAGAAGGAAATTTCAGGATGCGAACTTACCCCTCAAGGGAGGTTCCTTAAATAAATAAATAAATAAAATATTTATTTCTTTGCCAAGGTTACAATGTGTGTTTACATATCATAATATGATTGGAGTAAAGACAGCCACTATCATGCCGAGGCATTTCAGGCAGACTTTACCTAATACTAACAGACTACTAAGTCTAGACAGGTGGTGATGGCACAAACTACTGGCAGCCTTTTGAAGTTTCTCCTTACCATTATTATTATTATTATTATTATTATTATTATTGCTGTTATATTATTATTATTATTATTATTATTAGTATGCATGCAGTGAAGGGCTCTTGATCTAGGGAACTGGATCTGTACTCCAGTTCCCTAAATTAATAATAATAATAATAATAATTATTGTAGTAGGGGACCTGAATGCTAAAGTAGGAGAAACTTTTAGAGAGGGTGTGGTAGGTAAGTTTGGGGTGCCAGGTGTAAATGATAATGGGAGCCCTTTGATTGAACTTTGTATAGAAAGGGGTTTAGTTATAGGTAATACATATTTTAAGAAAAAGAGGATAAATAAGTATACAAGATATGATGTAGGACGAAATGACAGTAGTTTGTTGGATTATGTATTGGTAGATAAAAGACTGTTGAGTAGACTTCAGGATGTACAGTTTATAGAGGGGCCACAGATATATCAGATCACTTTCTAGTTGTAGCTACACTGAGAGTAAAAGGTAGATGGGATACAAGGAGAATAGAAGTATCAGGGAAGAGAGGTGTGAAGGTTTATAAACTAAAAGAGGAGGCAGTTAGGGAAAGATACAAACAGTTTATTGGAGGATAGATGGGCAAATGAGAGCATAGGCAATGGGTCGAAAGAGGTAGGGGGTTTAGGTTTAAAAATGTAGTGTTAGAGTGTTCAGCAGAAGTTTGTGGTTACAGGAAAGTGGGTTTGCGGGAGGGAAGAGGAGCGATTGGTGGAATGATGATGTAAAGAGATTTGGTAAGGGGGGAAAAAAGTTAGCATATGAGAAGTTTTTAGAAAGTAGAAGTGATGCCAGGAGGGAAGAGTATATGGAGAAAAAGAGAGAGGTTAAGAGAGTGGTGAAAGCAATGTAAAAAGAGAAGCAAATGAGAGAGTGGGTGAGATGTTATCACAAATTTTGTTGAATAAAAAGAAAAAGTTTTGGAGTGAGATTAACAAGTTAAGAAAGCCTAGAGAACAAATGGATTTGTCAGTTAAAATAGGAGAGGAGATTTTATTAATGGAGAGTTAAAAGGTATTGGGAAGATGGGGGGAAATTTATTTTGAGGAATTGTTAAATGTTGTGAAGATAGGGAAGCTGTGATTTCGTGTATAGGACAAGGAGGAATAACATCTTGTGGGAAAGTGGGGAAAGGACCCGCAGTTGTGAGTGTGGGGGAAGTTCGTGAGGCAGTAGGTAAAATAAAAAGGGGGAAAAGGCAGCGGGATTGATGGGGATAAAGATAGAAATTTTTAAAAGCAGGTGGGGATATAGTTTTGGAGTGGTTGGTGCAATTATTTAATAAATGTATGGAAGAGGTAAGGTACCTAGGGATTGGCAGAGAGCATGCATAGTTCCTTTGTTAAAGGGAAAGGGAAAAAAAGAGAGTGCAAAAATTAGGGGATAAGTCTGCTGAGTAAAACCTGGTTTAAAAAGTGTATGATGGGAGTTATTATTGAAAGAATTAAGAGTAAGACGGAGGAATAGGATAGCAGATGAACAAGGAGGCTTTAGGAAAGGTAGGGGGTGTGTGGACCAGGTGTTTACAGTGAAACATATAAGTGAACAGTATTTAGATAAGGCTAAAGAGGTCCTTGTGGCATTTATGGATTTGGAAAAGGCGTATGACAGGGTGGATAGGGGGGCAATGTGGCAGATGTTGAAAAGTGTATGGTGTAGGAGGTAGGTTACTGAAAGCAGGGAAAAAAGTTTTTACGAGGATTTGAGGCTCAAGTTAGAGTATGTAGGAAAGAGGGAAATTTTTTCCCAGTAAAAGTAGGCCTTAGACAAGGATGTGTGATGTCCCCGTGGTTGTTTAATATATTTATAGATGGGGTTGTAAGAGAAGTAAATGCGGGGGTTTCTTGGCAAGAGGCGTGGAGTTAAAAGATAAAGAATCACACACAAAGTGGGAGTTGTCACAGCTGCTCTTTGCTGATGAATTGTGCTCTTGGGAGATTCTGAGAGAAGTTGCCAGGATTGGTGGATAAATTTGGTAGGGTGTGAAAAAGAAGAAAATTAAAGGTGAATACAGGAAAGAGTAAGGTTATGAGGATAACAAAAAGATTAGGTGATGAAAGATTGAATATCAGATTGGAGGGAGAGAGTTGGAGGAGGTGAATGTATTCAGTATTTGGGAGTGGACGTGTCAGCGGATGGGTCTATGAAAGATGAGGTGAATCATAGAATTGATGAGGGGAAAAGAAGTGAGTGGTGCACTTAGGAGTCTGTGGAGACAAAGAACTTTGTCCTTGGAGGCAAAGAGGGGGAATGTATGAGAGTATAGTTTTACCAACGCTCTTATATGGGTGTGAGGCATGGGTGATGAATGTTGCAGCGAGGAGAAAGGGTGGAGGCAGTGGAGATGTCATGTTGAGGGCAAATGTGTGGTGTGAATATAATGCAGAGAATTCGTTTGTTTGGAAGTTAGGAGGAGGTGCGGGATTACCAAAACTGTTTGTCCAGAGGGCTGAGGAAGGGTTGTTGAGGTGGTTCGGACATGTAGGGGAGAATGGAGCGAAACGAATGACTTCAAGAGTGTATCAGTCTGTAGTGGAAGGAAGGTGGGGTAGGGGTTTGGCCTAGGAAAGGTTGGAGAGGGGGGGTTAAAGGAGGTTTTGTGTGCGAGGGGCTTGGACTTCCAGCAGGCATGCGTGAGCGTGTTTGATAGGAGTGAATGGAGACAAATGGTTTTTAATACTTGACATTTCTGTTGGAGTGTGAGCAAAGTAACATTTTGAAGGGGTTCAGGGAAACCCGGGAGGTTGGACTTGAGTCCTGGAGATGGTAAGTACAGTGCCTGCACTCTGAAGGAGGGGTGTTAATGTTGCAGTTTAAAACTGTAGTGTAAAGCACCCCTTCTGGCAAGACAGTGATGGAAATGAATGATGGTGAAAGTTTTTCTTTTTCAGGCCCCCCTGCCTTGGTTGGGAATCGGCCAGTGTGTAATAATAAAAAAAAATAATAATAATATAATACATATGTATTAATAATAATAATAATAAAAATACTATGTATTAATAATAATAATAATAATAATAATAATTTTTAATTACATACTAAGAATAATAATAATTATAACAATAATAATAATAATAATAATACAATATAATAGTAATAATAATAATAATAATAATATGTTGTCATTTTTAGACATTTTTCCTATATTTTTTCATATTTTTGTGCCAAATGCTTCAAAATACAAATTGGTAACCCTCTGGGTGGCTGTAGGTACTGCTAGACCACAGTTATCTCAGTGCCAACCAAGGAATATAAGGAAGAGGAGGTGAGCTGCTCTGAGTGATCGCAGCAGACCCTTGGGATGCATAATTTTGTCTTGTATTGTACAAATTTCTTACACACTGCCTCGCCCATAGAGACAGCATTCACGTACAATCAGCAAGAAGCGATTAGAAACTATGAAAAAAGCTAGAGAAACGAAGAAGGCAGCAGCATAGAGTGAGGCAGCTGGCCGCCACCACCACCATTACCACTGTGGCCACAGTGATTATGTCTTCACCTATATATATGTACATCTGTCTTGACCACACCTGTGGTTACATATGTGACAACCTCACCACTAATCATAGATAAACACAAGCTAGGTGTGGGGTTATGGACTGGCAAGATACTAGAGTGGGAGAGCAAACGGCGGATGCTTTCTGCCACTGCCGGCATCACCATCACTTGCCATATTATGGCCTATTTTATTCATTCTAGAGTATATATCATGTTTCTATGTTATTAATATTGTTTATTATGTCATATTAGATGAATTGTGATAGATAACTAAGCCACAGAGTTGATATTATTTTGTCATGCCTCCTGAGAGGCTGGAACGAATTAATTGCATTTCAACTAATTTAAATGAGGAAAATTGACTCAGCATACAAACAAATCAGGATACGAACAAGGTCACGGAACGGATTAAATTTGTAAGCCAAGGTTCCACTGTATCAAAAACTGTAGGTATACTCTACAGGATGTCCCATAGCTCGATCACTAGCGCACTCAACTCACGCACTGCGGTCTGGGCATTGATCCCCCAGTACGGCTGGAAAACACTAGTACAGTAGGGCCCCACTTATACTATAGGTTAGGTTCCAGGCTACTGCCAGAAAGCAGAATGCCATTTGTTTCCACTTATAAATGTCAAATAATAAGTTTACACTAACATGTATTAAGTTAGCAATAGAACTAGGTATTAACCCTTAAACGGTCCAACCGTATATATACGTTTACCTGCACAGCGCCCCAAATATTTTGAGAAAAAAAAAATCGTTTTTTTATAGGAAAATAGAGCATGTGGTACCCAGGCATCCCCAATTTTTTCATATGGCACATACTGAGTGCACACACCCATTCTCTCTTGTCTAGGCGACTCAGGCCTATCGTGCCAATGTTGAATGAATGACAAATGAAACGCATATATATGTTTGGGGCGCTATGCGAGAGAACGTATATATACGTTTGGACCGTTTAAGGGTTAAAAAACAATATAAAGTAAAATACACACACAGTTACACTCATTACTTACCTCATAATATTTGTAATCT